CTCTTCAGCATGCGCGTGCGGAAAGCGGACAGAGGATGCGTGCAACTGCGGTCGCGCTGAGAACAACGGATCGAGCAGCTTGGAGACCGACTTTACTACTAGCAAGTAGAGAGATGGATATGATATGAGGGTCTGAGGCGTATGGAGGTTCGAGGTGGTGTGTAGCATGAGAGGGTGTTTTTGGCGTTTACATGGGACGGTCGAAGGATCGAGGGTATACCTGATATTAGTGAATGATGATTTGAAAGTTCAAACTTGTCCTGTCGTGTCTTGTGTTCGTGATCGGCGCGTTGACGCGTCTTGTTATAGATGCGCGTGTGCCTTTCGACCTATGTCCTTGACCGGGGTATGACCGTACAACGAATCCAAACAGCCATCGTCAAGGCGGTCGTGTTTCTGAGATGCATGTTTTGTATAGCGGACGTGGCCGCTGTCTTCTTAGTGTCTATGTTCCTCATCGTGTTGCGGGTGGCATCTCATCGATAGCTTGCGGAGCTCGGGGGAGAGCGGCGGTACGGTCGGAGGCGTATGCACATTAGATTCCGAGGCTGTCGCGGTAATGCCCAGAGGTATTTGGTCCAGTACTACCGTCTGTTGAATGCATGGAGCCTGCACTTGCCATAAGGGTCAAGATCGCGATGTCTTGCTCCTACTTTGACTCGCACGGGCAGGAGCTACACGCTAGACCCTGTTTGCTTGGCATCCATGTGTAGAACATCCACTTATTCCCCCCGTCAGTCGTGCATGCAGAGAAACAACTAGATAGCTTGCCGGGGTGTCGTGCGTCTTCCTTGCTCGTTCCAATTCCATGTCCTGCTCTCGATTGCGCCATAAGCCTGCAGCCAGCGTCTAGAAAGCGCTGACAGGCGCCCCTTTCGCGAACTATCGACCTCCGCTCCGCAGCGCGCACGCCGGCATAAACCCTGCCTCGAGGCCCGTACCGCACCATTCCATAGCGCACCACCACTACCGCCGCCGCATTGTCGGGCTACTTACCAGGTGGGAACCGCCCACCCACCACGTCGTCTTCTACCACCAGCATGGCGGCCTCGGTCACTTCCAAGATGGCAGCGAGGGCTGGTGGAGGCCTCTTCAGCCGGGAGCAGTCGGGCAACGTGCCCACGATGCGAGGTACATGACGGCATGCCCACGAACAACGGACCGAAGCTCACACGCGGACAGGATTGGTTTCGTTCATCGCAGACCTCAGGAATGCTCGCGCGAGAGAACTGGAAGAGAAGCGCATCAACAAGGAATTGGCCAACATACGGTGGGTACACGCTGCCGAGTTTAAGCATGTCCAGAAGGCTAACAGTATTGCAGGCAAAAGTTCAGAGGTACTTCTCCTTGGATACACCTTCCACATGACCTGCTCTGACAGAACTCCCCCCAGATGCCGGCCTGAATGGCTACCAGAAGAAGAAATACGTCTGCAAGGTACACACGCCACTCACCGACTCTCCCGCCTATTGCTGACTCTCGCAGCTCCTCTACATATACATCCTCGGTTGGAACGTCGATTTCGGACATCTCGAAGCGGTCAACCTCATCTCGGCGACCAAGTACTCGGAAAAGCAGATCGGATACCTCGCCGTTACCCTATTCCTGCACGAGGAGCACGAACTGCTACACCTGGTCGTTAACAGCATCAGAAAGGACCTGCTGGACCACAATGAGCTCAACAACTGCCTGGCGCTGCATGCGATTGCGAACGTTGGTGGAAAGGAGCTGGGAGAGGCACTAAGCGCCGAGGTTCACAGGCTTCTTATATCACCGTGAGTGGCATGAGACGGGTTTCGTGGCCAAGCTGACGTCGAATAGGGCCTCCAAGGCATTCGTGAAGAAGAAGGCTGCCCTTACACTCCTGCGATTATACCGGAAACATCCTGCGATCGTACAGCACGAATGGGCGGAACGGATAATATCCCTCATGGACGACCCCGACATGGGCGTGGCGCTTTCCGTAACCTCGTTGGTCACCGCACTCGTCCAGGACAATACCGAGCAGTACAAGGGAAGCTACATCAAAGCCGCGAACAGGCTGAAGCGGATAGTCGTGGACAACGAGTGTGCCGAAGGTTACTTCTACTATAAGGTGCCATGTCCGTGGATACTGGTCAAGCTGCTCAAGTTGCTGCAGTACTACCCACCTCCAGGTACGTATCCTCTCCGACTATCGAAGACTCGCACTAACAGGAACAGAGGACTCACATATCCGGAAACTGATTCGCGAAGCTCTCCAAAAGATCATGGACTCAGCCCTCGAAATGCCCAAGAACGTACAGCAGAACAACGCGCAAAACGCCGTCCTCTTCGAAGCGATCAACCTCGTAATCCACCTCGACACAGAGCAAGACTTAATGGTTCAAATATCGCAACGGCTGGGCAAGTTCATCGCATCTCGGGAAACCAACGTGCGGTATCTAGGACTGGAGGCCATGACGCATCTGGCTGCTCGATCTGAGAACCTCGATCCCATCAAGAAGCACCAAGCAATCATCATTGGATCGTTAAGAGACAGGGATATCAGTGTACGAAGACAGGGTCTGGACCTACTATACAGCATGTGTGATCCGACGAATGCGCAAGCGATCGTGAACGAACTCCTCCGATACCTACAATCTGCCGACTACGCGATACGGGAAGAGATGGTACTCAAGATTGCGATTCTTACTGAGAAGTACGCTACGGATGTTCAGTGGTACGTGGATATATCACTACGGCTGATCGCCATGGCTGGAGACCACGTTAGCGACGAAGTCTGGCAGCGAGTTATCCAGATCACGACGAACAACGAGGAGCTGCAAGTGTACGCTGCGCAAACGATTCTGCAGTACATCAAATCGGACTGCCACGAGACGCTTGTGAAGATTGGTGGATACCTGCTCGGAGAATTCGGCCATTTGATCGCGGACAGCAAAGGATGCAGCCCGATCGAGCAGTTCATGGCGTTGAGCGCAAAGATGCGAGGTTGCTCATCAACGACACGGGCGATACTCTTGTCATGTTATGTCAAGTACGTGAACTTGTTCCCCGAGATCAAGCCTCAGCTTCTTCAAGCTTTCCGCGCCTACAGCCACTCGCTCGATTCCGAACTCCAGCAAAGAGCATGCGAATACCTCACACTCGCCACCATGCCGACGGACGACCTACTGCGCACCGTATGCGACGAGATGCCTCCTTACCCAGAACGGACGTCAGCGCTGCTCTCGCGATTACACCAGAAACACGCTACTACTAGCGACAAGCGAACGTGGGTGGTTGGTGGCAAGGATGCAAATGCGGACCTCAAAGAATTCGGTCTTGCAAGGCAGAATACGTCTGCGGGTGTCAAGAGAAGCTTCACCGAACCTGTACCAAAAGACGCCAAGACCGGCGCAGCAAATGGCGCCAACGGTGTCGCAGCGATATCAAGTGATTTGGAAGGTCTGGATCTCAACATGGATCTGAGCAAGGCTTCCAAAGCACCAAATCTCGCAAGCGCAGCGCATCTCAGTCCCGATTGGGAGGTTGGCTACACTCGTCTCCTATTACGGTCGGAAGGCGTGCTCTACGAAGACCAGCAAATACAGATTGGTCTGCGAACAGAGTACCGCGGGCAGTTGGGCGCTCTCATCTTCTACTTCACGAATAAGTCACAGTTCTCCATGGGTTCTTTCACCACGACACTCGACAACCGGTCTTCGGAAACACTGAAGACGGACATCAAGGGTCTACCCGACACCTCTATCGCGCCTGAAGGCCAAACACAACAGACCATCATGTTCGAATGCAAGAATGTCTTCATCGATCCGCCTACCATTCGTATATCCTACCTCGCCGGAGCCCTACAGGGTCTAACCCTCCAGCTCCCGGTCCTTCTACACAAGTACATGGAAGGCGCCGAGCTCAGCGCAGAAGATTTCTTCAAGCGCTGGAAGCAAATCGGCGGTGCCCCGCGCGAGCACCAAAGTATCTTTGGCCTGATCAACAAGAACCGGACCATGGACTCTGATTTCGTGCAAAAGGTGGTCAAGGGCTTCAAGTGGGGTATTGTGACTGGTGTGGATCCTAACGGCAAGAATATTGTCGGTGCGACGGTGTTGCATTCGAGTGAGGGCAAGTTTGGATGCTTGTTGAGACTGGAACCGAACTTTGAGACGCAGGTATGTTGGTACGAAATGATAGGGGAGAAGAGAAAGCTAACAAAGGATAGATGTACCGGATCACGATTCGCGCGACTGATGAGTCGGTCCCGCCTGTTCTCGTCAAGGCTATGCAAGATCGCCTCTCGCAGGGTATTGAGGGAATGGCTTAAGTCAAGAGACTTATACCTTCCTACCTTTCCAACCAACACCGCCACCACCATTCTTACACCATCACCCTCACGATGTGTACACACCTGGAACCTTTTGTTCATATACTAATGTTTTTGTCTGGGAAACTTTGGGCTGTTGCGAGAGAGAGAGAGAGCGAAAGAGGTATGTTTGATGGCTGGGCTTGGGCTGCATATGTAGCGTTCATTCTTGAGGAGAAGGAGGAAAACATTGAGATATGGCGCATACCCTTGTTTCTGGCTCATGTAGCATGATTACATATATATTGGAGCGTTTTTTTTGTTTCGTGGTAACTGAGGTTTGGTGTGGAGTGATGATGATAATATGTGATGTCGTTTGCAGAACAGCGCTCAGTTAAATGTGTCGCTTCATCTAGGGAGAAGGTATGAAGATGTCGGAGTCGTACTAGTCCATGCGACCTTCAGCCCTTGTGTTGCGCAACTCGAAAAAGGGCGCGACTGCCACCGAGCCATGGTACAATACCACCACTAGTGCCTAAAGCATCGATGGTACCTGAGAAAGTACGGCTATACTTGAGTCACATCACTACGAACTTTATACATGTTAGATTCGGACCCCAAACCGTGCACTAAGCCTACTCCCGTCACAATCTTACAGCAGATAATACTCTCCGCACATCGCCACACCCCACGCGATACAGCAACGTCTACATCAACATCAATCATGCCCGTAACAAAAATCCCCCACCCATCCTCCTCTTCCACCTCCACCTCCACCACACCCGCCCCCAAACCAGCCTTCTTCTGGCAGCCCCGCGACGGCAACGGTTACCTCTGCCAATGGTACTGGTCCAAGTTCACCCTCGACAACGAAACCTACGTCACAACCGAAATGTGGATGATGGTGCACAAAGCGCGTTGTTTTGGCGATGAAGATATCGCAAAACAGATGCTTGAGACCACAGATCCGAAGACGCATAAAGAGCTGGGGCGGATGGTAAGCGGGTTTGATGAGAAAGTTTGGGATGAGCGTACGTAATTCCTGTTGTTCGATGTGATATTAGAAGGAGGGGATGCTGACTGGGTGATAGGAAAGCTGGAGATTGTAACACAAGGCAATTATCACAAATTTACGATTAGCGAGGATGCGGAGAATCTGAGAGGCATGTTGTTGGCTACTGGAGAGAGGGAGTTGGTGGAGGCGAGTCCGCATGATAGGATTTGGGGCGTGGGGTTTGCGGAGAAGGATGCGGAGAGGAATCGGTATCGGTGGGGGAAGAATCTTTTGGGGAGGGCGTTGATGGATGTGAGGAAGAGGCTGAGGGAGGAGGGTTGGAAATGAGGTAGAGGAAAACGTCCTCATAATTACACATGATGCAGGTAGACCAGTGTATTGTTGGTGTACGAGAGCTCGTTAGACAATCTTCGAGACAACGTTAACACCGGGGAAATCCAATACCTCCTGACGTTTATACTCCGCCCTCGCAACCATGCTCGTGATACATGCAGTGACCATTTTGCTGAATCGTAGCTCCATCTCTTCCTTGACATCCTTCGTCCATGGTGGTCCAAATGTCACACCAGCCCTCTGATATTTGTCCTGCACGAAGTTACTCCAGTCTAGTTCCAGTCGAACCTGGCGCAGTTTACCTAAGTCTCTGATCCCACCCAGAACATCGATCAAACGATGCCAGCGATGCAGTTTGCCTTGCCTAACTTGGTCAATGATAACAGTAAGATCGGATATTGGCACCGATGGCTCGCCCCGGTTGATAGCTCCGGTCTGGAGGATACTTTCAGTTAGGAACTCAAGGACGTCGACACCGACTGTGAGGCACTCCAAACCCGGCATTCGGTTCAATACGAGGAGTGCGTAAACGAGTCCTTTGAGTAACTTGGCTTGTGTTCTCTCGAGGCTATAATCGCTTGGAACCAAGGTTTTGAGTACGTATGGGTGGAGATGGGCATTGTCGACAATGTTAAAACGGTGTTCCTGGGAACGTTGAAGCACAGACGAATCAGTGAAATGGGCGAGGTCGAAAAGGCCACGGATGGTGAAGAAAGGAATGGCAATCTTTCGTACACGGACTCTATTTTTAGGCGTCAGGGCGCGAGAGAAAGCTCCAACAAAGGGGCGACAAGTGCGTTCGCTATCTGTCAATACGAATGTAAAGCTTTGGTACAGGTAGGAGAGTACTTCGTTTTCGAAGGTCCAATGCGTGCAGATGAGATTTAGGACAGTTTCCCAACTCTCAATATGAAGCTCGTCTTTCTGGGGCTTGTCTTTCTGAAGCTTGTCTTTCGAATTCAGTGTCGACTTGACCAGTGTCACTCTGATAGTCCGATCTGGAGTGTCGCTGACGATGTAATCGTAAATCATCTGACGGGTCTCGCGTGCAAGGCGCAAAATACCAGCTTCTGGCTCGACCATACTAGATATTAATCGGGTAGATTAGTAGCTTCTACATCCATGTACTTATAGCTGGGTGTCCGATGAGTTTGTGATCAATACCGTCACATTTGGTGACAGAGCAATCTCTCTGAGCGACAAACGACTTGACATACACATGACACCAAATTGAGTTGACCATCTGATGAAAGCATCGTCGGACAGATACATGCTGGTTACGCCGAGCATAGGGATGCGTTCGGGTGTATTGAAGGTATCCAGGCCCCACTACTGCGAGTTCGACAAGCCATGAAACGTTGGTAAGTGCCTCCCGGATGTCCTGTTTTTGGATTGGTTTCGCGGTGTATTTGTCCATTCCGCACGACATGGAACGCGCACCGGTAATGGGAGGCCTGTCATATCATCCGGTTCATATCGATGATGCGTGCGGTACGGGTTTTTAGATGCTATTACCATGATTTCTCCAGGTACGTGGTCCGCGCATGGCACATGAAGGCCCGAGAAAGGTACGTAACATTAGAACGGGTGCGGGACGCCGTCCAGGGCTGCTTCAGTTGCCATCCACAGATGCTGCGATGGCGCATCGAAACGAGCTATCCGTAGCTTTTGCGAATGATATTGAGAGGAACCCTCGAATGTGAAGCAAGGTAAGAGACGAAAGTACTCGTGTCTCTTGGTGCGGGGATACGACTAGAGCGAGTCTGATTAGCAGCACTATCGGTGATAGGAGGCGCAACCGTATCGGTGATAGAGCGAGACGGGACGGGCGGAAGGCGAGCGAGGCAGTACGAGACCGTATCGAGATGAGCTCCGCGAAAGGTCGCTGTTGCCGTGTTGTGATATTTACGACAGAAACACGGCCAGACGCATACATGGGCTTCTGCCTGTTAGCACATTAACAATAAACCACACCGTATGCTTCAGGGTATAGGTTAGCGTCAGCGACATTGAAGAGCCGGGCTGCTCCGCAATATGCGGACGGTAGAGCAGGTTTCGTGATGCCTGCGGGTTCACGGTTTTGGCGGATGAACCAGCGCCTCGGCTCCACCCACAGGCGCCAGCACGCCAGCAAATGCGGAGAGGCGGCAGGCGCGCGACCCTCGTCACGTGTGCGAAACACCAACGTTGACCTCGTGTCTTACTGACCACCAGCGACTCTCACCTGCGATACACGATCGGCTTCGCTGTCGGGACAAGAACGAACCGCTCACAGGCCACCGACATGTCGACAATGATCACATTTGCCGCGAACAACGAGTTTTTCCGGAAGCGCAAAAGTGCGTATAGACCGTGCGCAACACAACAAGCAGCAGCTAACAGCTGCGCGTAGGAGTCCATCGCGCATGCGAATCATGCAAGAAGCGCAGAGTAAGCTACAGCAGTACCGTAAACCAATCAAGGATATCATCTAACGCTATACTAGAAAAGGTGCTCGCATACCTTCGATGATGACGAGGGAGCCACTGGCGGTGGCGGCAACGTTCCCCAAAGTGGTGGCGGAAGCAATCCGACATCCTCAGACAGCCCTGTCGCGAACGGTCAATATCATGATCCCAGGGGAGCGCGTGGAGACTACGGCCATGCTCAATCCACAATGCCGCCGCCGCAAAGTCCGGCCTCGGACCACACAGTCCAAACACCACCCAACTTCTTGGGCTATCTCAATCCTGAAGCCGTCCTGCGAGAGCAAGTTCACTCCGAGCGTGGAAAGACTGCCCAGTCACCCAGTCACCCTCCCATTGGACAATGGATCGAAGAAAGAGATCAGAGACAGACATCGTCTCAAGTGGGTTCAGGCGCTTCGCGGATAGTAGAAACAGGTCCGCATTCCAACCAGGAGGCTCAGGTATCTAGGGCTCTCCTAACCTACCTAGACGCGGTCGGAGTTGATATACTCCCTTCTCGCATGAACCAAACCGCGCTTCTCGAGATCTACTTCAGCTACGTCCATCCGCTGCTCCCGCTTGTGGACAAGGAGCTGTTCTACGAGCAGTACAACTACGGTCGGGAACCTCGAATTCTGATGCAAGCAATCTGTATTGTCGCTTCAAAACACGCAACAGCCGCCAAGCACCTTTACTTGGGTAACGAGACCCAGCCGCTCAATCCACGCGAGTTCTCCCAAAGACTCTACAATGCCGTCATTGTTGGGATCGAAGCGAAGCTAGAGAAGAATCGCGTCGTGCTCATCCAAGTGCTTGCTCTCATATCACTACATTGCGAAGGTCCAGATGGCGCTGAGCAAGCGTCCATGCATCTTGCACAAGCCATCCATCACGCGCATACCTTCGGCCTCCAATTTGGACATCAATGGAAAAACCAAAGTTCAGAATCTCAAGGCAATCTGGAGGACGTATTTTGGTGTCTTTGGAGTCTCGACAAAATCAACGCTTGTATGAACGGAAGACCTTTGCTGATGCACGACCGCGATAATAGCTTGAGACAGCTCCCCCAAGATCCAGAGAAGAGATCAAGCCCATTCGGTATCTGGCTTCAAATCTCTGAGATGTTGGACAAGGTTATCGACTACTATAGGCCTGGTAGAGCTGCTGAAGAAACAGGCTGGGAAGGTGATGACTTCTTAGGGTTTGAAGAGATGGTTGGAGACGGCGAAGACAAGCTCGATGGCCCTATCATGAGTAAGCTGCTTCAAATCCCGAATTTCCATTTTTGCTAATATTTACAGGTCTACTATCGCTTTTCCATCACACCATGTGCATGGCCTCCCACAAATCCCTCTCCATCAACGCGCCGGTCAAGTCAACACCCTCTTACGTCCGACAGAGTCTCTCCGCGACTCGAGTGATCCATCTTCTCAACGCTGAATCCCCCGAGCTCCTCCCACCGCTTCCGATCGTACCCTACGCGCTCGGTGTAGCCCTCAGCGTAGTGTATCGCCACTTCCGCTCTCGCCGCCTGAAGGTCCACGTTAACCGCGCTACCGAAGAATTGAAGCAGTGCGTCCGCCTCCTCGATCGTTTGCGAAACTCGTGGTGGTCTGCAGGCACGACAGCTGATCTCGGACGAGCTGTACTTAGCAATGCAGCAGGGCGCAACACCAACGCTGTCAACACACCGGTACCGGTTCCAGCCGAACCCCGACCGACCGAGCCGAAGACGGAGCCGCCAGCACCGCAAAACGCACATAACAACCAATTGCCACCACAAAATCAGTCGCAACCATGGCCGCAGAACATGGGGGAGACGCCTATCGACCCTCGGCTCCAGCAACACCAAAATCATCCTCACGCCAACTCGCCCATGAACAGTCTTCTCAACCCGATAAGCGCTCCTACGCCCGGTCAACACCCCACAAGCAGCGAACGCGCAGATCGCGCGCCTATGACGGGCCCTCCCGCCGGCTTCGGTTTCGCCGAACAGTCGCCGGACTGGCTCAATTTCGACGCCGCGTTTGAGAACTTTGAAGGCTTGTTGGGAAGTAGCGGTGCGGATCTGAGTAACGAGTTGTTCAAGCCGTTGAACTACGAGACACTGGAGGGATTCTTAGATCCTGCTGCTTAGGTATTGTTTGTATTATACGGGTATTATTCGAGTGCCCTGGGGCTACGTAATGATGGAACGTAGGTATATTGATTAGCTTTGATGGCGTTGTCTATGGCCCGCCTGTGCATTGTCTCCGCCGCGCTTCGATATGTGAGCATCAAAGCTTCCATGCTAAAGTGATGTATCTGCCACGCTGCCTTCTACTACAACTCCGCGTTCCGGCATTCTGCTCATTCTTCCACAACGTCCTCGTCTGATATGGACGTGCCGCTTGTTTGCGACCCTGACTGAGTAGACCCGTGGTCGATATCTGGAGACAGTCGGTGACTAGTGTTCATAGCTGATGTTCCAGTGCGTGAAGGGTGTTTCAGCGTTTGCAAGGCTTCCAGAATCGTCTGGTTTTTTGAACCTGCGTCAACCGATGGCTGCCAATTTCGTGATCGTTGCGAACGCATCGGCAGTTGTGAAGACTGGAACATCTTTAAGTCTGGGGGCAGAGGAGGTGTAGACTGGAGCTCTCCTTTGGCTGGTTCGGGCATGGGCCACATATGCATGGTGAGAGCCCAGTCAGGCTGTATCGTAGTTTCCCACACTTGTGGAAGTATGACCTCACCATCCATGCCGACGAGATCGTAGTGTCCTTCGTGTACGTGTGGTCCAATCACATCGACATGGAGGAAAGCTTGCTTAATCAACTCTTCCATTCCCTTGACTTCAAGTCAGTACCATGCTTACACAAGTCTGACAATACAGAGTCTTACCTTCCATGTCTTACATAAGTCCCACGGGAAGCTGAACTTTCGGCCGACTGCATCCTTGAATTTGATCGGTGCTTTTGACAAGACTATCGCAGGTCGGTCGTAAAGGGGTATCTCTGTCCCACAGATTTGATCCACTAGCGAGGAGAATCCAGTGGAATCGACTAGGTCTAGTTGACACTCTCCCATTCGCACCAAAGTCCGCAATAGTACTGCGACCTCTCTAATCCTGATCGAGCGTCGGGAAGAGTCGTTGAGTAGTGTTATTATCTCCGTAGGCGAGAATATCGTCAGAGAGATAGGTGTATAGGATATGCTTGCAGCGTCCAGTGCTGATGGAGCTTCCGTTAATGTGATAGGCGACTGGACATCGACTTCCAATGTCTTTGCCGCGTTGCCAACGCCGGAGATAATAGGCTGGGGCATTGTAGCTGGAGCTGGCTCCATGATATCCGATGTAGCCAAAACGTGTGTACTTTCTGGCTGCAACGAGTCGTTCCGGGTGGTCGACGTGCGATGCTTCTCCGGAAGTGATTGCACTTCACTTGCTGCGTACGTTGTGACGTCGCCAGTACTGACGGGCTCACTTCAATCAAAGTTAGTGATTGCACAAAGCACGGAAACGTCTTCACTTACAGATTAGCAGCCACCAATAACAGGTTCAACGAATTCAGCCTTGCGTGTAGCGTTTCTCTCAGCTTCTTCATATCATCTGACTTGTACATGGCCCACCCGACTTTCCTACAGTTCTGTGCCATACCCGGATTTGCTAGTCCCCCCAATCGTCTGTCGTATTTCTTGGTCTTGTCCAGATATGACTCAATAATCTTCATAGCCTCCATGGCTATCCATGAAGCCGATTTAAACGTAGCTTGAGCGACATTTCGACTTTCTCCTAGACAGCTGACGCGAATAAATGCTTCTTGCATACATCTTAGCTCACGGAGTGCTGCTCGATAATCTTCGCCTGCGTCATGGCTACCATTGATGGCTTGGATTAGACGCTGTGTCAAGGCGGCTGCACTGATGAAGTCGCCGACAGAGAAGCCAAAAGACATGGTGGGATAGTGAACAGAAATAAACGGAAAACTAGAGTTCAAATAACGATATAAGGTAGCTTAGGAAAGCAGCACAGGGCGGAGTCGCACTTGAGGCAAGGCGCACTCAGCCTTGGTGGGGTAAATATGCATGTAGGCACTGCCACACCACTAAGCAGTACACCATCATTATATTGGCCATCACGTCAGCAAATCAAGAGTCTTGCGATTGGAAAGAAATGGCCTGCATACTCAGATGTCAACGTCAGTTTGGGCTAGCATGAACGCAGTACGAGTTGTTGTTGCGACCTGCCCTGTGGAGACGTTTGCATTTCCGTACCCTATCCATCGCCCCAGAGGTTCTTTGAGTTGTAATACTTGTTCAACAGTGTATTCTTGCGCGAAGTGGTGGCTGGTGTGTCTTACTCTCTTGCACCTCAGGCACCTGCCAGACCTCACGATCTCTTCCCACGCGACCAGGCTACATCCGCAGGGCCCGAAGTCTACGCCCTTTCCCTATACTTAGCCCCCAACTCGGACATTCTACTCTTCCAAAACTCCAATCTCGCACTGTCGCAAACATCCCCGCCCCCTTGACTGGCCCAAAGATCACCCGGTGGCAACGTCTCCGTCCCAGCTTCACAAAGCTTTTCAATCTCATCTCCCGCAATCCGGAACCATGCCTCAGCAGCCGGTATGTGCAGATCAGTCTTCTTGCCCTTGCGTGTGTTTGGCGAGTGTTCAAGGGCTGTCGCCAAGGTCATGCGGGCCATGCGAACCCCATTTGCAAGGACTGGAATTGTCTGTGCCCTATCGCTTGTGGCTCTGAGGGCGAGGAAAGTATTGAAGTTCTTCCATAACGTCTTTGCAGTCTCAAGGTCCGCTGGTGATGGTGTATCTGAAAGGTACTGCTCAGGCCCTATGTTGACGAGTAAGCCAACGAACAAAGCAACTACCGCCCATAATGGGCATCTCTTACCTTGAAAGCGCTCTGTTATCTCCATAATCAAGTCTGGCAAGTCCTTCCACAGTCTCTTCCCTCCATACCCCATCACAAGAGTTTCTCCTGGCTCGATAGGCACCGACGCGCCGGCGTGGCCTATGTGATCGATGACGACCGTTTCATGACTCTCGTTGATAGCGTCGGGGAGACTTGCCAGTTCCACAATGTAGTCCACCAGTGCTTTCAGCGCATCTTCGTCCGCGATCTTTTCTGCGGAGGTGACATATATGCCAATAACGTCATACCAGGCTTTCGGTTCAGAGGAGACGAGAGAAGCTGTCTTGGACGCCGAGTCCTTGGCCGAGGCTTTGCCAGTCATTGTATTCTCAAAAATGCGGTAGAGCTGCCACAATGTGGATTTCTTTGCAATGGCCCCAGAATCTCCCTCAAGGAGGCGGCCTAACCAGCCCTCTTCTTGATTCTGTACCCAATCGCTGGCCATGTTTGCTTCAGGCTACGGTCCGGTAATCTTTCGAACAGAGACTGTAACTCGTATATACTAGGAAGCTTTAGGTATGAAGGCGTTCGCGGTGTCGTACCATACCTAGATCCCCATAGCCTTGTAATGATTAGCTGAAGCAACAGAACCTGTGGTGTTCAGTTTGCTCGAAAGCGTACGCGAAATCATGCGAGCGCCTTTCGCGACCCTGCGCTTGTGCCCCGCATACACGTGATCAGGCTGAGTGCCCAGGTGGTGGCTTCCTCCCGAAGTCATCTTCCTTCCGCGTGTCAGCGTGAAATCTCTGATCTTCGTTCCGAACTAACCTTGCAACTTCTTAAATGCCTAGGTAGCTGGCCAATAGTCTCTTACATTCCTTTCCGAAGCATCAGACGCTCACACCTATTTACCATGGCTGAAGCGGACGATCAAGAGTCTGAAACCTTCAGCCTTGCCACACCATCGAGCCGTAAAAGAAAGCGAACAGCTCCATTCGCTTCAGGTGAATCTTCCGTTGCTGCAGCTGAGGTTCTTCCTGAGACGATATGTGAGGTGTGTCTTAACCTCGGAAACGAGGTCTGGGACCCTGACTATCGCGAAAGGCACGGTCTTGGAACATGTGGGCCGCACAGTAAGCCGGTATGGGAAGTTGCTATTACTGCACAAAAGGGCTGCCCAGGTTGCGAGATCATTGCTTGGGCGCTTGAACCTTACATGGAACGACTGCAAGACAAAGGACAGCAAGTCGATATCGACATTGGACGTGCTGGGCAGATGTTCATGGGCGTGCTGACCTACTTTTACCGCAAGAGCTCCGAAGATGGCTTATGGTTAAAACTTGTGCTCAAAAGTACACCTTTCGAGTTCGTTGAAACTGCTCGCCCTCGTTCAAACAGTAAGTGGGATTACGACGCTATTTCAGAATCGATACTACAGTCTTGCTGATTCAAGAAGATTTGTCAAGTCCTTGGTATTCTATACCACCGACTCCAATGGTCACTTGCCACACAGGCTCTGCAGCTGCTGTCAGAAGAGTAAGAGATTGGTATTTTGACTGCTTGTCTGGTCACCAAAAATGTCTTTCGGGTTCCCGCTCGCCACTCCCAACAAGGGTGATACACATCCAAGGACCCAACAAAGTTAAACTATTCAGTTCGGATACCCAAGTTGCTGAGTACGCTTGTTTAAGCCATTGCTGGGGAGGACAGGCTGTGATTCAGACCACTACAAGAAATTTTGACCAGTTTACTGTCAATATTCCTTGGGAAGAGCTGCCCAAAACCTTCAAAGATGCAATTCAGTTTGCCAATAGTATTGGCTTCAAGTATCTATGGATCGACTCCCTCTGTTAGTGCTCCTTGGTTCTTGAATCGAAAGACTTTATTGCAACTGGCTCACTGTGATTCAGGTATCATTCAAGACTCGATTGATGATTGGCGTCATGAAGGAAGTCGAATGTCGCATATCTATGCAAATGCATCTATGACATTATCAGCAACATGGGCAGCGAACCCTCATCAAGGATGTTTCGTCACGCTTGATGAGCGGTTCACGTCGCGTACGAGAACATTTACGGACAGCGACGACAAGACATATGAGCTTCACTGTCACGAGGTGCTGGGTGATATGAAAACGCCGCTCTTTGAAAGAGGCTGGGTCTTCCAGGAGCGGATGCTATCTACAAGAATTGTTCACTTCATGGAGCAGGAGCTCTGGTGGGAATGTCGAGAGTGCTTTCATTGCGAATGTGATGGCTTCGATCACAGGTTTGATCGCAGGGACCGTCAGGGCGCGCTCGAATTGAGCGAGCTATCACCGCTCGAGAGTATCGAAGAAAATTGGGAGCACTTGATCGAGACATACTCGTCAAAGTCACTCACATACCCAGGCGACATATTTCCTGCCGTACAAGCGCTGGCTAAGCTCATTCCCTCAAAGATGGGTAAATACCTGGCGGGGCATTGGGAGGGCACTTTCATCTCAAGTCTTGGCTGGCTCCCCTCCAAGCCAATACGAAACAAACGCAATAATTGGCGCGCTCCCTCCTGGTCGTGGGCTGCAGCCCAAGGTCCAGTAGCCTGGCGTATGCGATACATTCGTCCCATCATAGCATGTGCCACTCTCCTCAGCGCCCTAACAATACCTAAAGGAGATGATCCTATGGGTCAGATATCGTATGGATTTGCTATCTTACGGGGGAAATTTCTGACACTAGAGAGACAAGAACTGGAACATGGGCATGATCACGGCCTTGTACTGGAGGGAGAGCGTTTTGGTAAGTTTGATGGCTGCACAGTTGGATGGGACAATGTGTGCCGTGGCAAGGTCGCTAAGCGGGTCTTCGTTTTTTTGCTCTTTGCAGCCGATGTCGTCTACGACAAACGACAATTCTGGCTCATACTGGAGGCCGTAGAAGGAAAAGAAGGCGATTATGCGCGTATTGGTACACTTCTGGTAAACGTCTTAGAAGGGTCGGGCTACCGCACGAGACTGTCGCGCGCATTGAATGACAAAGCAGTGGAGATGGATGTGAAAATCGTCTGAATGCGCGACTACATTCACTGAATCACACTCGTATAGTTACAAAGAACACCCAGATCCTCACTTCCGTGTATGTTAGAGAAGATCCAATCGCTCACATTCCCACCTGACACGATGTACAAGTATAGTTCCTATCGCATCAGACAACGACTCCACGTTGGCTATCTGTCTAGAGCACGTGTCCAACTGCTTTGCCCTGAGTCTACCATGCTTCAGGCACATATGCTCTCACTCCGACCCTTCCCCTCAGTCACCATAACCTCCTCAGCTCTCCCCCCTCGTCTCCTTCTCCATAACAACCGCATCCTTCTTCGCTGGCCTCTCCCCAAAAATTTGACTCCCCACCCTAACCTCATCACTCCCCAATTTAATCGCCCCCTCAAAATCCGCACTCATACCCATACTCAACTCCAACTGGCCCTCTTCCCAGCCCAACTCCTTAACCACCTGATCCCTAACCTCCCTCAGTTTAACAAAATCCTCGTTTTCGGTCTCGGGCGTCGTGGCTTGACTGCGCGCAATGGCGCCGATGGTCATGAGGCCGTGGAGGAGGAGATGTGGGCATTTCTCTATGATGTGCCGGCATAGCGCGAGTGTGTCGGAGGGTTCGACGCCGGATTTGGATTCTTCGCCGGAGGTGTTGACCTGGACTTTCACGCGCAGTTTCTCTTCCACTTCTTCGTCCCCGCCTTTCTCAACCAACGCTCTCCTCCCCTTCTCCAGCTCATTCGCCTTCTTCTCACTATCCACACTGCTCACACACCATAGATTCGGCACCTGTTCAGCCAGCTGCTTGCACTTGTTCGATTGCAATCCGCCGATCATGTGCCATTTTATGGAGCGGGGCAGGATTTTGTGCTTCTCGAGGAGTTCTTGGACGTAGTTTTCGCCGAAGTGGGTTTGGAGGGGTGGTTGTGAAGGGGAGGATGGTTTGTGTAGCGCGAGGATATCGTTTGCGGGTTTGAGTTTGGAGACGGCGATGAGGCGGACCTGGAATGTCGCGTGTTAGCAGCTGGGCTTTGGGGGGATTGGAGGGATGGGTGGGCGTTACTTCTTTGCTGCCTTGGCGGGCGGCGTTGATGCGCGAGGTTATGCTCGCGATGTTCTCGGTGAGTTGCTTCGCGCGTTGGGGGTTTATGTGCATGTCTTCGGCCATGGTTGATGCAGGGCTATGATGGTGTTCGCGTGTTCAGCCCTGCGACTCGCTTGGATGAAGACGTCAGATCGGCGTTACTGTTATCTCCGTTCCATGCACGAGTCATCACTTTTGCATGCTGATACAGGTAAACCAAGGGCTTGGCTATCGATTAATGTACTTCTAGGCGACGATGCAAAGGTATAATTGATGCTAAGGTGCCCCTACGACAGGCTGCGAAGTCTGCCAGGACTCGCTGACCCGCTGCAACCATTTTTCGCTCCCACCAAAGGCAGGGTCCACCAACAAGTCGTGATCGGTACCTGGGAGCACTTCATTCTTGTAATCATAGCTTTGGCTCGGTACCCATATCGCATTGAACCAATCCCTGCCTTTATCGCCGACCAATTGGTCTTGTTCTGCGTGCATGCAGTCGATATCCCAGATCCGTCTGTTTCCTGCCAGTCGGTCGTCTTCGCCAATGGTCTTGGACAGGAGCTGTACCGCGTCGTTAAGATCTTCCCATTCGACTATGGGAGTACTCCATGGAACAGAGCGTCTCAAGAACATCTGTGTGTCCATTGAGACGCCGTCCACGGACTCTGCGAAAACGAACTTGGTAATGTAGTTTCGCAGATCATCCACGACTTTTGGATCGTCAAGTGCAACGTCGTAGAGAGTGTCGCGAGGGCCATCATTTGGCTCTCTAGGCTCAGTTGTTTCAGGCGCTGCAAGAGCGACTGGGCCTGCGGTAGGGCTTGAGCGCGACAAGGAAGTGGATATCCCTTGAACGAAGGTGCCGCTCAAGCCAACCAGCGGAACGACATTCTGATTAATGAATCTGGCGACGGGGCCCATTTTCCCTATTAGAGACGCGGGAAGAAGCCCAGTAGCCTGTAGATGCGTCATCTTCGTGTGCGAGTAGTGTACCCACGGAGCGAAGAAACAGATGTATGGATGGTTGGGATTCAGCAAATGTGGATAGGCGAGGATAAGGTTCATGAGGTAGATGTCGCCTCCACTGTGACTAGCAACCGAAACATGCTCGATATTCAAATGCGCCAGGAGTTGGGGAACCATTTCTACGTGGATAAGTTAGCCGCCTTAGTGAGAGAACGTGTTCACCAACCGAGCCAGGTCTGAATCCGCTTCTCAGGCTTCACAGCATCACTGCCACCAACCCCAGGACGATCCGGATGAATAATTCGGACATGATGCCTCTTTGCTAATTGATCCAAAGGGGAGTAAGACAGGCGCTGGCCAAACATCGCTCCACAAAATAAGACGACTGCGTTGCTGTCGGCGTCGCCAAAGTCGGAGTAGGATACATGATAGGGTTCGGGTCGGTCAGCATCAGGGTCGGCGGGAAGCACGAAACTGCGGTGGAACCTTCGATCGCAGATGAATTCAAGCGTACCCATGGTGAGGGGATAAGAAGAGTTTGTTGGTAGGATTGTTGAGGTGAGTACGTTCGATCCTTCCAGGTACCTCCAGCCCATCAGCTGCCAAGCATGGGTATGTCAGGCAACCAGACACGCGGCAGGAGGCTGCAGGCGCTATTGGATGTCAAGGGACGAACGCTACTTTTGCGTAAGTTCTGTCATCGCAATCCCCACCAGAGGTGCCGCGATTTGGTGTAACATGTTGAGACATAGCCTATAATATTTTGATTGTTGAAGAGGGTAGGTGAGGAATTCAATCGCTCGGGCACAGGACTGAAGCTTCGTCATGCGGAAGGATGAGGTGACAACACCAATTCTCAGAGAAAACGAATGTCGAAAAGCGAGTCGAGTGTATTCTGCAGATGCCAGAGATCCAGCTGCGATGGAATCTGGTGACGTCGAAGGCTCGCTGCAGCACGAAAGGGCATCCCCGGAGCAAGCCTCATCACATCCGGCTCGTCGCCCCACATGGCAAGTAACGTGCCGCAGAACCGCCTGCGCGTCTTGCCCTCCACACCCCATCAAAGACCAACCCCAGATTTGATCTAGTAAACAAGACACAATGCACTCAGGTGTCTACTTAGAGCATAGAGACGCCCGGCTAAGGCACCTAGTACCTGCAGGAGGTGCCGGAGTAATACTTCAGACAGATTGCTTTATATGGCCAAGCCCCCGTTTAACCCCGGATACACCCATGACGCCAGTGATGATTAATATCAAGGCGAACTTCTAGAAATGAAGGTGCATGCAGTTTGGAGGGGCGCTTTTGGATTGCAATGTATAAAGATGTGGGTGCTGTAGGTTGAATGTTTGTTGGCGCGGTCGCTCTTTCCCACTACAGTACTTCCTAGCCTACTTCACCATGAGGTATCTCCCAGTCGCTCTTGCCGCTGCAGCAGCACAAGGTGCGCTCGCACACCCAGGCTCTCCACATCCAGATGCGCAGGGGAGGTACACGATTGAGGCCGAGGGAATCAGGGCGCAATTTATTCCCTATGCTGCTACTCTCACCAACCTTTTCGTCAAAGGTAGAATAAACTTAGAATGCTACATGGCGTCTACTAATAGAATATAGATCCGGCAGGCCAGGAGCTAGATATCGTCCTAGGTTACGACAACACGTCTTACTACCGTAAGCTGCTGTTGCGCATGCATCGCAATACAACCTAACAATCTCCAGCCGTCGACCCGGGACATCCCGTTTACAATGCCATCCCAGGCCGATATGTCAACCGCATTGGCAACGGCGAATACTCCATTGACAACGTCACGTACCACACTGAGAAGAACGATGGCCCAAACACCCTCCACAGCGGTACAAATAACTGGTCCTTCAGGACGTGGAACGTCAGCGCCGTGACCAATTCGTCCATCACCTTCTCCATCAGCGATGCTTCCAACTCCTCGCTGGGTATGATTGGCCGTGTGGATGCGAGCGTCACGTACTCGGTCTCGAAGAACAAGTGGCACATCTCCATGGATGCCACATCGCCCGAGGCCAAGACGCCGCTCATGCTGACGCAGCATACTTACTTCCAGCTCGATGCCTTCAAACGCCCTGACAACCGCACGGTCTGGAACCACACTGTGTACATGCCAGAGGCCAAGCGTGCGCTCGTCGCCGATGCGAACGCTCTTCCCACTGGCGAGATTGCGCAAATCCCCGCCGGAGCCATTGATGATTGTGAGTAATCTCTCTATGAACCTAATATGGGTTGATATTGATTTGATTAGTCTGGTCCGCACCGCATGAACTTGGGTTTGCATCAGGCAACGAAGAATTCGAGAACCACTGCGGAAACGGATGCCACGGCTACAACGGCGCCTGGGCATTCAACGAGGCCAGGAACAAGAGCGCAGCTGTGCTCACGCTATCGAGCGCATACAGTGGCATTGAGGCCAAGTTGACGACGAACCAAGACGCCGTTGTCCTCTACACGTGCAATTGGAACGACGGAAAGAGCGAGTTCAAGAGCACGCAGGGGGTTGTTGGCCAAGACAAATTCATCCCGCGCGACGGGTGCATCGCTATTGAGGCCCAAGACTACGTTGATGGCATCAACCAGTAAGTCGATGATGACGTCGTTTCAGGCACAAGCTAATATTGTTGAACAGTCCGGAGTGGGGTCGGCTGGACAAGCAGATCTCGGGCCCTGGAGACAAATACCACTGGGAGTCGTCGTGGGAATTTGGAACGATCTGACATGAGGCGGTAGCGGCCTTTGAAGGGGCGCGAGGGTTGTGAGGCTAGCAGTGGACACGGCGTAGGACGGGAGGTAGTAAGCAACATGTTATGCAACCCCATTGACCAAGTGTCAATGTCTGGAGCCCCGCATTTGGGCGGGGTGCAGTGCTCGCGTGTCGCCCAACGTCTGCTTGGTAGCGAACAGCACAGTGTTTGAGGGCGAATTTCGAGTGTTTGTTGA